GCAACTCATAGAGACAAGACTACAACGTGCATTTAGAGAGGTTTGTGTACTCAAGGGTTAGATACCTCGCGAAAAACTAACTGCCAGAAGTGGTGAAAATACTAGGGTATTTTAAATTAGTTTGTCCCCACGGTTCGTTTGCTCTAATACAAAACAATCTGTTTTATAAAGTTTTCGTGATAAAAAATTCTGGGTTCGCATTAGTCTGGTCTTTTGTTTTGTTGTTTTCGGAAGATCGAGGTGTTGGTGCGAGCTTAAATGTATAACAACATCATGTGATTTTTTTTATACAGGTGCATTTATTACGGGTTTCTATCCATAGAAAAATGAAACTCCCTTCATCAAAGGTTTGGCATGCCTCGACGATTGTATTTGTTTTTTTGATTTTTGACGGTCTTTTGATCTGGAAAAATCAAACTTCAAATTAAATTATTCATAAACTTTAACCGATCTGACCCGAGGATCGTCACTACTCAGTTTCTTTAATTCGTTTTCTCTTCCTCTCCTTTATGATTCCTTTATTGTTTTTTTTTTAATAAATTGCAGTATTTATTTAATAAATTATATGCATTATAGCATCACAATCAATGATGATATTAAATTTAAATCTTTTGTTGCAATAACAGCAGAATAAATTTATAGAGTCATTAGCGAAATTGCTTTACAGTAACAAGAAGTAGAATTTTTTTTTTTTTTTTTTTTTTTTTTAGCGAATATTAATATTAAGAGAAATAGAGAAAAATAATTACTAACAGGCAAAAAAAGAACAAAAAACTCTTTTTCTAAACTTTTCAGTAAAAATTAAGCCAGCGAAAAGAAAAATAAGAGGTTAACAGTTAATATTAATATTTAATATGTACAAAAATGTTTTCAAAATGAGTTATAGTCTTCATTATCATTACAGTTTGGTTAAATGTTAAAAGATATGTTGTATTTACTACATTGTATTAAGATATCGATTAAAAGCTTCTATTATTAAAAATAAAATAGCAATTTTTTTGGATCTGTACAAATTTGTTGAAATCTTTGCACATGATGCACCACGTCATGGCATTATCGACGGCCTAAAATTTATACTTCAATTATGTCCATAAATCTGCCAAAATTTATACTCTAAATCTGGCAATTTATATTCAAATTTATATTCTAATTCTGCTAAAATTTACTGGATTTTATTAATAAATTTCGATTCAGTGAATATCTATCTCAAAAAATAAAAATACAAGGAATCTTCATATAATCGAATTGATAATTGACAAAACACCCATTATTCACTATATTATTAGTAAATTTAGATTCAGTGAATTAACGGGTCACATGATCATAGGTTTTTTCTTTTAAAAAGATTTCACGTGATCAATTATCTGCATATCACCTGACAGGGGATCTACAAATATTCTATTTAAAAAGATTTCACATGATCAATTATCTGAGTGTCACCTGATAGAGGATCTACAAATATGCTATTTAAAAAGATTTCACATGATCAATTATCTAAGTATCACCTAACAGGGGATCTACAAATATGTTGATCATGTAAACAACCCTCTTTTGATTAAAAAAAACCTTCATATTACTAAATCTTATTAATGGAAAAATATTTTTTAAACAAAACCCCTGATAAAATAACAATAATAACTGCAATGTACGCAAGAATAATGACTAATGAATGGACTGGTGATGAAAATGAAGAAGTTAATATTTATAAAAACACAAAAAATAGGATATTTAAAGCCTTAATTCACAACAAAAATAAAAAAGAACATTTTGAAAAATTAATATCTCTTGAAGATACCAAGGTTAAGTAATATCTGACTATCATATTATTGATAAAACTAATGAGAATGTGATAAAAATAAGCATAATGTTATTAGCCCAAATATTTTCAGCCCTCAAGACATTCACAGCTTGCGATATTGCAAAAATATAACTTGCATACTGACTTGCATACGTTACAGTAACAGTTTTCCTGTGAAGATGTTCATAGTGATATGTCATAACAGGGTTGAAATTTTATCATATTATGTTACAGTATCAGGCTTTTCTCTGCAAAGATGTTCATTGTGATAGAGAACAATAAGCAGTCTAAATTTATTATACTAATAGCAGAAGACGAAACTTGAAAATTTTTCTTAACTTTTTTTCAAATTTGAAAATTCAAATTATTTAACTATAAACTAATTTTAAAAATTTAAATATTTAAAGGCTGCTATTCATTTTAAAGCTCTTGAAGCACTCATGGAAGCGGACGCGTTGATAATAGTAAATTTTTTAAATCTAATACTGTATATAAATTAATGCCAAATAAACTTTAATCTTAAATTTATACAGCTAGTAGAAATTTCTCAGTGGAAAAAGATGCTGAGGAAAATATTAATAAGCTGCAAACAATTTTGGTAATAAATATGAATTTCACAATTTCGTCTAACTTTAGTTATATATTAAAATTTTCTTTATTAAGAAACATCGCATAGAATCAAAAAGTGTATTTTATCGAAGTACTGTCTCACATCTCTGTTCTCAACTACACAAGAAACTAAGTAATATGAATGTTGAATATTTGATATATGATAATCTACTAGCAAGTAGCATTATATTGATAGCTAGTTCATTAGAACAGATTAATGAAGGAACATATGTTGCAGAGGTATTAGCACCTTTGCTAACCACTACTTTTTCAGAATTACCAATCCCTTTGATGTATAAAACAAATTGGTAATATTTTCTTTTTTTTTAATCTAATAATTTGAATTGTTAGAATTTTTAATTCTATCATCCTTAATTAGGGGAGAAATTGAGAGTCCTTCTAGTAAGGCTCATAAAAATCACATGGAAATAACCCAGATTTTATGTTATGTGTGAAAGTTGGTGATAAAGAACTAGAATTAGTTAATATGGAAACAGGATAACCTGAATCTGATTGGCAGAAACAAATTTCTGACCATAATAGACTAGCACGTAGTGCTAAAGATGCTTTTGAGGATTTTTCTATCAATGGTAGTGAAAAAAAATATGAATATGAAGAATTGACAAAAATTTTTTGCCTTAACATTAAAGGCAAGTTATATAGAAAGATTAATATTTTCATTATAAATTTCTAAATTTCTTATTTGGTTATTTTATATTAGGATGGTATCTATCAATTCATGTTTTTTCCAAAGCCAAAGAAGGATATTATCATTTTGTTAAGATGCGTCAGACTGAGATTCCCTGTTTGAAAGCAAGCCTGATCAAGTATTTGAGTTGATGCAATTATTGTTAGAATTACGAGTATGTTTACTATTCTTTATCTTTATTTTACTGTGTTTGAACTTTTAATTTATATGGAAATTTGTAATATTTTAAGACTACTGTTATTTCGACAGCCAGAATGCTATTTTATCAATACACAACAAGACGTTATAAAAAGTATAAGAGTAGTATTTCTGGTATTAAACAAACGTTTATAACAATTGAGACACCTAAAGGCATTAAGAAATGATAATATAATACTATTACTTATAGTTTTAATGAGCTCTCAAATATGTAGAATTTAGGGTGTGGCGACTTAGTGAAGTGGTGAAGTTGTCGCACCCCCAAGTGGTTGAGTACAAGTTCAATTCCCACTGGAG